AAGCAGGGAGAGCTGGGCCAGAGGCAGAGCGCTGTATGCAGGTGGGTTGGGGTGGAGAGGGGGATAGTGGAGGAAGACATTACCCCAGATCCACTTCCATCCCTGGGTAAGTGTGCTCCTGAATGGTCCAACACAGCTCCCTGCATCCCTCCAAATAAATATTTATAAAAGAAACAGTGGTTAGAACTTCCCATTTTTCTGGTTCCCTTCTCAATTGAACTTAGCTTGCTGCGGAACAGATCCTTTTAGCTTCCTTATTTCCCTCTTTGGGAAAGTACTGTACACAGAAAATGGCAGTGCTGTCGCTGTGGGCTCTACAGGGCCCAAGTTTTGTGTCGCAAGGTTTTGCTTGGGGCTGCAGGGTTCTGCTGTACATGGGAACACTGCGAGGGATTTCCATGGGTGTGATCCCATGTGCAGGATGCCAGATGCACAGCTCTATCTGAAGACATCGCTTTGCAGTCCCTCCAGCCCAACACCCTGACTGACTACTTGCCTTGGGTGACCAAGCAAAAACTGACAAATGTTTTCTGTGAAGGATGGTGCTCCCTGGAGCTGGAGGATGTGCCACTGCCAGCTCAGATGCACAGCAGCAGCTTAATGCCACCCTGCTGTCTTGGGGTCAAAGCCTGCAGGGGTTCAGAGCACAGACTGCAGCACTTGCTGAAATGTGGTTATGGATTCCAGGTGTCACAGATAGTTTGTTGGGGTTTTTTTGTTTATTGTGTTTTGTTTTGTTTTTTTTTCCAAACCAAGGTTTGATCTTTAATAAGTGTTTTTATTTGCATATGCTAAATGCTGGTTTGTTACAGGCATACTGTATTTCTTATTGAATGGACCTTTTGCTGGGCACTGACACGCAGTCTTAGGGGAAAAAAAAAAAACAATTACTGATGAAAACTGTTTTTGGTGGAGGGAGTTATAGCAGAAACTCTGGAATGATGTGTGGCTTGCTTTGTGTGGACTTACTGTATCAAATGCTTTGTAGTTTTTGAGTTTGCTCTGAAAGCATAGCCCATGCTGTTCCAGATCTTTCTCTTGTTCACATTTCAACCTGACTTTTACGGTTTCTTGCAGGCCAGCCCTCCAGATCTCTATATTGAAAGATTTAACGTAGCTCTTGGACAGTATATGGGAGCATTGCAGAGCATTGTGCCTCTTTTCATATATATGGTAAGTTTTAGAAAATTCTTTTCAAATAAAGTGTGTCTGTACACAAGATGCTGAATGAAAGTGAAAAGAATAAAATGTGAGGCTGTAATTACTTTTAATTTGCAGAACTTACGATTCATGCCTGGTTTTGCTACCTGCCTAACAGTACTGATCAAGTTGTGTGGGGAGAAGGAGGGGTAGCCCTGCTTTTAAATGTAGTGTTTTGCAATTGGTTTCTGCCCTAGTAGTTCTTTCCTGGGAGTGGGGGGGCATGATTTTTATTTTGATTGGAAAAAGTCTTCCCAAATAATTAGGTCATTATTTATCTCTTTGAACAGAGATAGTTTATTGGCTTGTTATATGTTGGCTTGGTAGTTTGGGCAGGTTACAAAGATGATTGTTTCTTGCTTTTAAATTGCCCAGATTCAGACAAGACAGGAAGAAGTGTCTCTTGGAAATGTCTGTGTCAATTGATAAAGCAATTTAGAGCATTAACTGGATGAAGACACACTTAATGTTCATAGCACTGAACCTGTTTGCAGACATTCAGAAACCATGGGCTAAAAGTGTTTGTTTTGCTGATTTTGTAATTCATGAAGCCTTCTATGCCTCTGAAGAAGTTTATAATTTGCATCGTTTTTGTCCAACTGCCAAGACTTTCATTGCCTTTATTTTTATGGTAATGAATAAACTAAGCTTGAAATTTGTCCTCCCAGAAACCGTCCTTGCATTGACATCACTTAGAATGAGGAGTGCTGTGTATCTCATTGTTTCTTTTTTAGAGTTTGAGGCTAACTGATATTTAAACATAGTAAAAATGGTTAATAAGTAATAAACAAACCTGGAAAAGGAATAATTAGATTTTTTTTTAATTGAGAACACATAGAAGTGAAAATACTCTTACCATTTTAAAGGTTAAGCCTCTTTAAAGCATGACTAGTGATTTGTTCAGGCAATAAAATTCTGTTCCTGCAAACACTTTCTCATTTAAGTGACTTAATTCAGGTTAGGCCTGCGAGTTAGTGGCTTATGTGTTAGTTCCTGTTCCTGCCAAATGTAGTGCTCATTTGGCTCAGCTATAGGTGGTTTTGAAGGCTGATGTCAAATCAAGTCTTATACTTTTTCTCTGAAATAATTTATTAATCAGTGTTGTGCACGATGTGGAAAGTATCTTTAGAGAAGTCAGGATGAAAAGTGTTTTCCTCTCTTGGATTTTTTCTGTGTGCATTTGGAAGTACTTTTATGTACAACCACGCTTGCCATTTTATGTTGTAGCATCTAATCAAGTTTTCTCTCATGCAGCAGCAGTAATTTCCTTTATTTAGACAAGAAAATACAATTTAAAAACAATTTCACGAGGTGAAAGCCTAATTATTCTGCAGTATAAATTAGAGCTTTGGAGTTGCTTTAATAGATACTTTCAGCGTATTAACTGAAGAGGACTAAGTTGTTGAACTCTGCCTTTTTATCAGAGATGGCAGGTCTTTCCTTTTGAGGTAGTGATGTGGCTGCTTTAATCAGACGTTTCCAAGGCTGTTGAGTTACACTGATAAACTTTGTTCTAAAAGGATAATTATATTGTTGCTTAGGAAAACTTTTAATATGCATTAAATATTTTAAAATCTGGGAAACCAAGGCAAACCTAAAGGGTTTGTGTACAACTGGAACATGATTTTTGTCCCTTGGTGGCCAAAAAAGGCATTGCCTTCAGCTTAGTCCTGTGTGTGTCGATATCAACAGCAGCACTTTTCTTTTTCCTGGTATGTACCAAACCATATTCTTGTGAATGGTGGGAATAAAGGAAAGCTGTTTCCTTAACCTGCTTGTGTATGATGACCAAGGTGTGTTTCAAGGCTTGTCTTGAGTTATGGTTGAGAGAGCTGACTTTGCAATTGAGGGAGTTTTCTTTTTTCCTTCTTTTGCTTGGAGCGCTATTGGTTTTCTTTTTCACTTAGTGACGGAGTTTTTTCATTCTTGTGCTGCTGCAGTGGACTTTTGGGTCTCCATGCTTTCTTGAAAACACTTTTATCCCTCCAAAATTCTGTGGGTTTAAAATCCTTCAAAAAAATTCTGGGATGTAAAAGGAGATAAAGCAAATTAGAACTGGAAGTCAGTTTAGCACACAGTGCTTTATTCCTAAGAATGATTCCTAGTGAATAACTGTTTGCTTTGTAAATCTACATGAAGTTGTTCTGGATGCTTACAGATCATACATATGATAGTATGCTGCACACGTGAATGAATAAAAATTATATTTCCATTCAAGAAAAATTAAAAACTATAATTTAGGTGACTTTTTTTTTTATAATAGGTTCTCACTTGTTAATTATACCTGGAGCTGAAAATCTGTTATTTTTGTGGCATGAAATGAGCCCAACATTTGTGAGCACTGTGGTTTTAAGATAGTTAAGAATGTTTTCATTGCCTCTAAAATATTGCTGTTCTTACTGGGTGGTGTTGCACTTTGTTGCTTATCAGCTAGAGGGCATTTTGTCTATACACAAATATATGTGAGTATATAGTTGCGGATGAGATAAGTGCTCTTATATACTCTTGGGTTTTTTTTTTTTTTTTCAAGTATTTATTGTTCTCCTAATAATATTATCACAATTATGTGTCTAAACATTTGCGAATTACTTTATGATATGGTAGTTTGTAGAAGAAATGCTTATATGATATCTGACTTTCTCAGGTGTTGATATCTGCTTACTTTTTACCAGTCAGTTAGACCTTTAGGTGACTTGGCACATTTTTCAAGAAATACTGGTACAGCCTAGATAGTGACATCTTATCTGGGAAATAGAACTGTTTTTGCACTAGCAAGAATGGGGAAGGTGAGTGCTCTTCTGCTATCTCATTTTAACACTGTGGACTGAAGTACTGTGGTTAGGTGATTTTTCATCATCTATTTAAAAGCATGGAAGTGTGACATCTCTTTGGAAAGGTGTTTCCAAGTTAGCAAACGTGAAGAGAATTTTACAGTTGTTCCATGTGTAAGTACTGTATTGTAACTCTTCTTGGGCAATGAGCTGGTGAAGGATCTAGAGAACAAGTCCTATGAGGAGAGGCTGAGGGAAATGGGGTTGTTGAGCCTGGAGAAAAGGAGGCTGAGGGGGAAACATTCTGGCTCCCTCCAACTGCCTGAAAGGAGGGTGTGGAGAGGTGAGGGTCAGTCTCTTCTCTCAAGTAACAAGTGATAGGATGAGAGGAAATGGCCTCAAGTTGCACCAGGGGAGGTTCAGATTGGATATTAGGAAAAACTTCTTTCCTGAAAGGGTTTTCAGGCATTGGAACAGGCTACCCAGGGAAGTTGTGGATTCACCATCCCTGGAGGCGTTCAAAAAACGTGTAGATGTGGTGCTTAGGGACATGGTTTAGTGGGCATGGTGGTGTTGGGTTGACGGTTGGACTTGATGATCTTGGATCTATTTTCCAACCTTAATGATTCGGTGATTCTCTTTGAAACTGCTGGGGGGTTTTTTGTTGCTTTTCTAGTTATGAAACTTAAGGTGTAGGCATTCCAGCTCTGGAACAAAGGAAAGCATCATAGTCTGCGCGTGTTGTTGCCAACTGCTTTTAATGTAAGAAGGTCTGGAGGGTGAGGAAGGAACAGAGTTATTTCCTTAGCCAGGTACATCTCATCTGTCGGCTCAGAAGACTCAGTTGTTTGATATTATCTGGTTTGATTCAGGTCAACAGACTTGTACTGAGATGCTCTGGTGGCTCCTGTGTGTTGCACCAGTGGGTATGTGGTAGTATGTGGTCAAATAACTCAAGGTGGAAGTGGTTTAGGAAGTTGGGTCTGATGAATGACTGTAGCTTAACACTTCCTAGAAGATGTATACCTTCAGTTTCTGTGGATTTCTGTTGCAATGGCAAGTCACCATTGACTAAAAATATTAGAGATTAAATCAGTGTGTTTCTTAGAAGGCAGGTTACTCTGTCTGCAGAGCCTTTCCCTCAATCTCTGATCAAAGAACAAGCCCAGGTGAGGGAGTTACTAACTTTTTTAAAAACATCTTTAAGATTGCTGTCCATCACTGCAACAAACATAAACTTCGATAGGAGCATGTCTTCAGCCCTCAGGTTGCCTTTGTTCTAACAGGTTCAGTATTCATTAAAGGTAAATAACTGCTGCTGAATGCTTGCCTTGAAAATGTGATTTCTGCGTGAATGGTTTATTATACAGCATGTGTATATTTTTAGTAATGGCCAAGAGAATGGGTTTCACCAAAAAAAAAAGTAAAGATTGCTTTAATAGTGTTCTGAGGGTTTGTTCCAATTATGTTAAATGCTTTAGCGAATAGGAGAACAACTTGATTTAAAGTGTGGAAAAACCTTTCTCCCTTAAGATATCCTTTCTTCTAGTAAATCTCTTGGATAAGTGTTCCAGTATGTTCTTTTTGATTAAATTGATTTTCTATTACTGCATCTGCTTAACTCTTTTACAGAAGTTGTCCAGATGAATTCACTTGTTCTGCTTCCATGTTAGTGTTGTAACTATAGATTTATCTTGAAACAATTACTTTTTTCCAGCGTTTAAAACCCACATATGACTAAAATACAGACAAGAAACCTTACTATTAATTGCAGGCTGGGAAGTGAAGAATAACACCAAATAGTACATTAGTTATGGAGCCCCTCAAGTAACTCATGAATAGAATTCCCTTTGAGGGTTGAAGAGATTAATTTATTATTAATGCTGAGTGGGTCAAGATAATTGAATCCTAAAAATTTGAATGTAGTTCAGTTTTGTATAGGTTTGCATATATCACTTATTTCCACAGCTGATTAATTTTGAGTATCTATCCTCTGAGACTGGCAATGAACCACACAAGTGGATAGCTGTCCTGATGATTTCTTATTGTAACATATCTGTTTTAATGGCTTAATCACTTTCAGACATTGGTAGAAATGTTTTCTTTTGTTAGAAATCTGATGTACAGCCCTATTTTGGTGTTAGTGTGTTTATAAAGTTCAGAAATGAAGTGTTTTTTCTACAACCTCCCCGGTCTGGATCGATACAGAGATACTTCTGTGGATATAAATTAAAAAAAACCAAAACCAAACCAAACACCAAAACCAAAAGCATGTCTGTGTGTATGTGGGTTTGTTACCAATAGTGCCACATGTATTCTTCATTTTAAATATGTCTTTTTTTTGTTGTACAGAAATGTTCTATATAGTATACATGCAGTCACCAAGGAAGCACTTTACAGGTTAAATAGTCTATAGCTGTAAAATTTGGAACTATTTTTACTCAGGGAAAAAGGTAAGTTTACTTTATTTGCTATTATGAAAAAAAAACTTGAAAACTGTCTGTCTTCTTATTTTGCAGAATAAATTTTACATAGAAACCAAGCTTAACAGAGACTTAAAAGATGACCTTATAAAGCTGTTTACGGAACATGTTGCAGAAAAGCACATTTACAACCTAATGCGTGAGTAAACCTATTGAATTTTTCATATAATGGGAGTCTGGAAAACCACAGTGCTTTCAGGTATTGCAGAAATCCACAGCAATAGGGAGCAAATGGCAAATTATTTCTGAACTTAAATACAAATCCATTTTTAAGGCATCCATATGGAGAAATGTGGCACACATACAACTTTTTCAGAACTATGATTTTGTATGGAGTCATGGTTTTCTTGAGTATCTGAAGGAAAATATATATAGATATCTATTTCCCCTTATGACTTGAGATCACAAATGCTTTATTGTCCTGGTGCTTAGACCGTTACTCTTTTAATTTTACAGCTATCATTAAGAATGTGGTGTGGTGAAGGAATTGTGATACCACTGGGGTTATTGTCATGGTGTACTCGAGTACTTCCTGCTAGTTAGTGAACTGCATGACCCTGACAGCAGTTTCTCTGTTCAGCTGATGGGTTAATGCAAATAGAATCTGCTTGAAGTGATAACTTCCATTAAGTGCTCTGTGGGTAACTCCTGTATAACTTCCTTAAGTGCTCCTGTGGGTAACTCCTGTGGTGAACTGCTGAGTTTGCCTGCAACCTGCCGCCATCAGCGTGTGTTTGTGTGAGCGTGGGGACCTTGGTACTGGCCTCCTTAGCACCTTGAGAGGACAGTTGGCAAAGACAGAGATAATGGAATGTGGAGTTCAAACTGGAAAAGTTTGCATAGTGGTGAGAAGCTGATGACCAGTGTGCTGGGAGAATGGCATTTGCAGGTGCTTTGTGCAATTTCTGCAGGTTCCTGTGCACCCTGTTGAGTTGAGTATCTACCCTGGTGTACTCCTTTCTGCAACCCAGCCCTGCTGCAGTGTCTCTGCTTTCATCTAGCTGCTCCTCTCTCTCCTCTGAAACAATTGCTGTCTGTACACTAAATAGCGATCAAATGATGGGTGATTAGAGTCGAGTGTATTTCTCCTTTAGACTTTCCTTGGGTAGTAATGCCCTTTCCTCTCCAGCAAAGGACTGGGGGTTAGGAGCTTTGCTGTGTTTTTTAGGGTCACTGTGAGTTGGCATCCCAGGAGAAAGGTGACTGCTCTGAGGCCAGGGAGCCTAGTGCCCTAGAATGATGAGAGATCATCAGCTCTGATGCCATCTTGTTCTTGCTATCTGGAAAAGTCTTCCTAAGAAGAGCTTTTAGCCATGTAGCAGATCAGATCACCTTGGAAATAGCAGGACAATGAGGAATATGCCCACCCATGGACCTGATGTTTTATTTTGTGCCAAAGGTGTTAAATGATATTGTGAAACCTGGTAAGATGACTTGTGCAGCAGGATCATGGAAAATTCAGCTGATGTTGCCTTAAAATGAAATACATTTTAAGTGTATGCATTTTTCAGGCAATGAAAACATTCATGTGATTTACTTCCCCCCTCCACCAAATTACAAGGCAAAAGTAACACTAGTCCAATCTTTGGAGTGTGAGTAATCTCAGATGTGTATTGCTCTGTAATTAGTTTTCTATGGATGATAATATAAGAATCAAATAGAAATTGCAGATGAACTATTGAAAGACAAAGACCTGTGGTTGTATGTTTATGTATGAATCTGAAATGCTCCTCCCCAGCTCTCTGTTAGTTGCAGAATTACAGTTAAAAGAAAACAAACAGAAAGCTGTCACTGTGTTGCTGTATATGGGATCTGTTGTTTAATTAGCAGCTTCCTGGGATTTCATTTCAGTCTTACCATCAGTTTATTAAAACTAAGTTATTTAGTTTTATATTACTCCTAAGTAAGATAATATATACTGGCATATATAAACTCCTAACTGTGATCAGACTTGGTTAAATCTTGGATAATAGGATCTTTAAATTGAGTTAAAAGTATGCCTAAATAAAATTCTAAACTTGCTAACTGATTCCTGGGAAATAATTGAAGACATGTAGCACGTGACATAGTACTGCAGAGGTGCTGAAAAAGTTCTGGTGGTGTATTATTTTCTGCCTTTCTCAGCTGTTCTTTCTAGCTCACTGAAATTCAGGCTATAATACATAAAATAATACCTTCATTTTTGGAAGTGTAAGGGCTCTATGAAATTAGGATGTAAGGCAGCATTTGTTATTGACTTTACTTTTCAATGTCATTGTCAGTGTGTGGTGCTGTTTCCTGATATTTAATGTTGATTTGGTTCAACAGAAGAGTGTTTTGGTATTATGAGGGGGGAAAAATAAGGTTTTGAGTGGGTATGCTTAGGAAATTAAAAGCCAGTGAAATTGTGATCTATATAGAAAAGTGGAATCCTGGGGCTGCTTTTTAAAGAGATGCTGCAGCTGCCATTTCAATAAAAAACAGCATGCCTTCCCTCTATTTTAAAAAAGAAACAACAAAATCAGTTTAATCAGTTTGTGGTCTAGACTCAGAAGACAAGAATAAAATCTGCTCTTTCTCCTGAAATTTGTTGCTATGTTTTTTGTACGAGGGGCTTTTTGCTTGTAGTATCTTGTCATTCTGTCAGAGCCTGAAAGCTGGCATTTTTTATTTGAAGTTGTTTTCAGGAAGGACTCTAAGTACATTTCAGGTTCATTTGATTTAAGAAAAAGTTCCTGTTCCACTTCAAAAGATGGGGAAAAAAAATCAGAAAAGCAGTGCAGCACAGATCTCTTCCTTAGTGTTTGATCTTGCTCAAACTCCCACTGCCTGAGTCAGCCCTAGTCCCTGTGCTGTGTGGTTGAAGGCAGGAAGATGCAGAAAGAACTCCTGGTACAATGGTCTCTGTGGTGAGAGCACTTATCTGAGCACTTAGTTGCAGAAAATAGTGTGATTAAGATGTGAATTCATTATTTACAAAATAAATATCTCCTAAGTGAGCTTTACTTGGACAAATTTTGCCCGCACACACACTGATTTGGTTCAATATTTTTTTTTGATAGAGGAAATGTGTTTTTTGGAAAAAAAAAAAGCTCTTTATCTAGAGCACTTTTGAGCAGTTAAATACATAAAAAATGGTATAATACACAGATCCATGAACACAGTTGTATTTGTGAAACACTTTTACACTCACACATATTTATCAAGTCAATGCTTTTCAAATTAAAGTGGATACATTTGAACTAAATGAATATAACCTGATGATTTTCCTTACAAAGCCAAAGCTGGCTTTTGCTGATAAGACTGCTGTCTTAAACAGCCTGGGAGAAGTTGCTGTGTGCAGAACTACTTAACTGCATGTAACAAGTGAAGATACAGCATCTTATTTACAAGAAGCCTCAGAAATGGGAGGGGGAAGATGCAGGTAATACCCCCTTGTCACTAGGGAAGAGGTGGTGGAAAGTGTCTTTGTTCCTGCTAGAGTCCTGCATGAGATGACTTGTAAGCAGAAAAATTTAGAAATACATGTTTTCCTTCCTTATGCAGCCACTGTCTCTTCTAGTAGGTTAGACCTCTGTTTCCTGGACTACGATCTTTGTGCCCTGGAGACATCCTGCCTCTTCTTGTGTCTAGATGAATGGTGATTATTGCAAACTTATCTTCAGTGGTGAAAATGAATAAGATCTCCTGAAAATCTCTACTTCTAGTACTTGCAGTAGGTAAAATTCAATGGCAGCAAAAATTTGCAAATAACTACTAGTCTTCTCATTTTGGATATTGGCAGCTTAGTGCTCAAAACAAACTTGCTTTTGTATCTAACAAAAGAGAATAGCTATTAAGAGCATATTGTTGTATACAGTGATGTTTGTGGGGCAAGTAGGATGTATCAGATGGACTTTTTCCCTGCTCTAATTCGCTTTTCTTTTTTCCTGCCTCTATTTTGACATCTGTCTCAAATGATCTGCGTATGAGAAGCAAACTGTCATTGCCTTGACCTACAAACTGCAGAGAAAATCCCCTGAAAAGAGGGGGAAACACTCGTTATTTTTCAGCCTCTTACATTACCCTCACCCTTTTTGTATGCTTCCCTTTTGGATTTACATTCAAGAAGTTGTTCTTCTTTGTGCTTCTCATTTCCGTGTCAGATCTCATGCTTGTGTTTCATAAGGAAATAGCAGTTAGTGCAGTTAGTTTCATAAATTAAATTGGTGCAGCCCAGTGTCCTGATCTTGCCAAAACACATAGGGCGTCATATAGATTTGGTGCACCAGAATTCTGACGACCATGGATTTATATATTGAAAGGTATGTGCTATGTAGGAAGAGCTGAAGGTTTCCTTGCACAGTTTAGGCGATGTTCACATTAATAAGTGGTGTGGTGTAAAGGGAGCAGATCTACAGAGTATGAAACCACCTACCTCTTGGTGTTGAGGACCCAATGTTCGCCTTTACATGTGTTTTGGAGAGTTTTATTTCACGCTTGCTAATGTCTGGTCCTGTGGACAGAATGCCAGTTTGGGGTTTGAGCCCATCTGGTTTTATCTTGCCCAAAAGAAATTAAGTTAATATGCTTCAAGGCAGCTCTGTCGTATGAACCAAGGCGCAGTACGTGGTGTTGATCAGTGAATTTGCTTCAAAAGCACATTTCTAATCTGAACTAAAGCATTAATATAGAATCTGGCCTTAAGCATTTGAAATTACTATTCTTTTTTCTTTGAGACACAGAATGTCTACTGTGATGGCAGAAACAATATGTTAAAAAAAAAAAAAGTCCTATTCAATAGCTGAGCCTCATTCCTTCTGTAATATATTTGATTTTGCTCAGCCCTTAGACATTGCTTTGGTTACTTTTTTCCTTAAAGTGTATAAAATCAGTATGAGAAGAAAAACTGCACAACCTCGCTCTGCTGCCTTAATAAAGCTATGCTTCTTGATTTTCAAGTTTAAGAATGATACAGAAAGATGAAATGGTAGATTTCTAAAAAGGAATTTCTTTATAATCAACCTACGTGTCTGGGTAGGTAAAATGAAATGAGAAGATTCCTTCCTGAGGGCCTTAAATATAAAGCAAGGTGGCAGAGCACTAGGAGAAAACTCCAGTGTATTTGTACCAGGCTAAAATGGGGTGATTTCTGTTAAAATTCCTCAACAACAAAAAGCT